GGCCTCCAAGACAGCCCAAGAGCCCTCCAAGACGTCCTCCAAGAAGGCCCGAAAGAGTCAAAATGGCCTCCAGACGGCCAAGATGACCTTCAAGATGCCCACGTGTTACCCGAAGGCTTTCCAAACCGATTCGGGGAATACATGGTCCGATAGCTTGGCAGGTCTGACCTCAACGTTCGGCCACATAGGCGCTTCCAAAAAGGCAGGGGGCGGCGGTGATTCGCCGTAGGCGTCTTCGATCCGCCGCCCCCTGCTGGCTTGCCACAGGGGTGCCTGGCGTCCTGGACCCTTTCGGTTTTGGTTTTGGTTCTCTTTCCATAGAACTCTCCCCTGGGGCTTCGGCCCGTCCCGCCGGCCACCTGGAAAATGCGCCAGTCAATGCCTTTCACGCCCAAGATGGCCCAAAATGGACTCCAAGATGTATAAGACGGCTGCGATGGCCCAAGATGGCCTCCAAGTCCGCCTGAGCTGGTCCAAGATGGCCTCCAAGACGGCCCAAGAGGGTCCAAGATGCCTCCAAGTCCGCCCAAGAAGCCTTTAAGACGGCCCAAGATTGCCCAAGAGGTGCCCAAGAGGCCTCCAAGACGGCCCAAGAGGCCTCCGAGACGTCCCCAAGATGGCCCAAGAGGCCTCTAAGACGGCCCAAGAAGGCCCGAAGAGGCCAAAATCATTGATGATCCGAAGGTTGTTTTGGACGATTTTCGTAGTTGCTTCTTTTCGGCCTTCCGACGGCCCGAGACGGCCAAAGCCCCCAAAGATCGCTCCCAGAGCGCTCAAGACGCCTCCAAGATGGCCTCCGGACAGCCCAAGAGGCCCTCAAGACGGCCCCAAGCGGGCCCAAAGACGGCCTGAGAGACCTCTGAGATGCCCAAGGAAGCCTCCAAGACGGCCCTGGAGCACTCCAAGAGGGCCCCAAGTCGGCCCAGACAGGCCCCCAAAACGGCTTCGACGGCGTCAGGCGAGCCAGGAGCCCACCAAGACGGCGGGCCACGAGCTCACGAAGACGGCCGAAGATGGCCCTAAGATGGCTCAAGGCGGCCCAAGAGGCCTCCAAGAGAGCCTCCAGGAAGGCCCGAAGAGGCCAGAATCATTGGTTTTCCGTAGGTGTTTGAAGGATTTTGGCATGTGCTTCTCTTCGGCCTACCGACGGCCCGAGACGGCCCAAGAGCCACCAAAGATCGCCCCAAGATCGACCAAGAGGCCTCCAGGATGGCCCTAGAACGGCCCAACAGGCCGCCAAGACGGGCCCAACAGGGCCCCAAGACGGCCCAACAGGCCTCCGAGACGCCCAAGATGGCCTCCAAGACGGCCCTGAAGCACCCCAAGGACCGGCGCGCCGAAAGGCAAATGACGCAGATACACTCGGCGGTCTTCAACCTTTGCCTGCTGGGCCCGATCGTGGTCTTCAGGGTAGACGGCCACGTGCGCGACCTCTCCCTTGACGTCCGTGGCCAGACTTTGCCAAAAGCCCAGGTGCTCCAGCGGACGAGTCCGCGTGCCCATGTGTTAGCATGTGTAGCGTCCCGTGCATGCCGCCTGTCGTGCCGGGGTCGACCTGGTTCATCAGTTTCGCGGCCATATCCACGGGCAGTGCAGGCGAAGACGCGTCCGCGGCGCGCGCGAGGTACAGCCCCTGCCCGCTGGTCCTGCCCGCTGGTCTCGGCATCTCTCTTCTAGCGCATCATCATCCAGCAAGCCACGGTGTTCCAGTACGATGCAATATTGCGGCCCGTCCGCTCCTCGCCGCGCCGCGAATCGTTCTGTTTAAGCTACAAGCGGTGCCAAGTGTCGGCGACACTGGTGGCCACCCTTGTCTCGGCTTGCGCTGAAGATCATGAGCTCGGCGAGCCTCAGATTGGTGGCCCCGGCAACCCAAGAAATCACGGAATTGCAGACAGTTCCCAGGACGCAAGGACTCGCTTGGTCTGCGTAAGGCCACACTCCGATGGGCCTCCAAGAGCTCACGAAACTGCCGACAGTTCCGCACTTGGGAGAACCTAGGGCCGCAAAGGACGCGAGATCTCGTCTGGTCTGCGCAAGACGGCACTCCGCAGTACTTTCCAGAAGCTCACGAGAGTGCCGACAATTGTGCAGGTGGTAAGGCCACGGGACTCCAGGGACGCGATGTCTTGTTTGGCCTGCACAGAAGACCGCACTACGCTGGACCTCCAACGCGAGACCGCTATCCGCAGGACCCCCAAGGAGCTCCAGAAAGTGCTGACACTTGCGCAGTTAAGAAGGCCCAGGGACGCAAAAGATACGAAGTCTCGTCTGTCTGCGTAAGACCTCACTCCGCTGGACCTCGCAAAAGCACACGAAACTGCCGACTGCTGCGCAGTTGGGGAAAACCCCAGAAACGAGGGAGCATCCAAGGAGAACGAGGGATGGGAAGAAGAACAAGCGAAGTGGAATCGAGAAAGCAGCGAGAAGGAAAAGAGGTCGGAGAAGAGGAAAGCGGGAAGGAGCCGCAGCGTTCAATCCAAAGCGAGGACCTAACACAGGAGGATTTGGGAAAATAGCGACAAACAGTAAATAATGCTGTTGGCTTCCCCGGCGTTCCAGCACCAGATCGGTGAGGGAAAACTCTAGAGCCCCAAAAAGCGCCCAAGACAGCCTCGAGATGGCCTCAAGATGGAATGGCAATCCTTCCAGACTGCCCAAGTGGGCACAAGGCGGCCCGAATACCCGTTAAGACGTCCCCGACATGGGTAATTTGAGCACATTCGGGAGAGCTTGGTAGAATAATTCGCCCAAAACGGATCAAACAATGCCGACGAGCCCAAATGGCCACCTAAAGCCCTACGCCCCCAAGAGGCCCCTACGAGGCCCCTAGAAAGCCCAAGATGAACAAAAGGGAGTACGAGGCTGCAAACAAGCAAGGGGTGTTTAAGCTCCGCGCCAGTTCAGACAGGGCACTGAAATTGAGCTGGAATTAAACTCGAGAACAGTTCTGCTGCGCTGCCCCGAAGGAGAACTCAGGCGTACAATTCTACAGCGGTTCATCACGTTGCACCTCCCGTCCACCTATCTACACAATCCCTCACAGCACAACACGCGAGTCTCCACGCAAACGCAAGCTCAAGCTACCAGCACAATCACCAGCATCAGCACTGTAGGTTCACACCACGTGGGGTCGGCAGAACAGGCGGCAGCCTGTAAAGAATGATTCGACCTGGAGGTCCCCATATGAGCATTCCATCATCCTGCCACGTCCCGCTGGAAGTGTCTGGCTGCGGCGACGACGACGACGACGACGACGACGACAACGACGACGACGGCGACAACGACGAAGTGTCCCCCATCCCTGACGGTTGCTCCCTGCAGTGCCGTCATGTCACACCGACTAAATCGCTGCGATCATGAACCCTTCAAACGCAAAGTGTAGGGGCGCCTTCACGGACAAACCGCGTGAGACACCCCCGCAATCTGAGCGCGAACGGAGTTCGCGGCTCTTCATTGGGGTGCCAAAAATGCCACGCATACTATACCCCAGTAGTCACGAGGCTCTCAAAGGAGAAGCTTCTGAACAACAACAAACAAACGAACCGCCTGAGAAATTCCCACATTCTGCCCACGAACGCGCCCGTGCAACACCCCCCGACGGTTCCTCCTTGGGTGCCCACATGCTTCGCCTGCCTAATCGCGGTGATCGCGACGAGCTCGAACGAGAATATTCAGGACCAGTAAACGAGCAAGCCGCTCGAGACAACCCTATAAGTTGGCCGCCAACAGGCCTGGGCAACACCCCCTGGCGGCGACTGCTTGTGGTGCCCACATGCCACGCATGCTATATCGCGGAGATCGTGCGGACCCAAAGGGGATGGAGGCTGAGCGACCAAACAGGCAAACCTCCTGAGACATAGTCACAATCTGGTCGCGAACGGGCAAGTGACCCCCTTCCCCAGCGACTCCTCCTTGGAGGGCCAAAATGCCACGCCTCTCTCAAGAAAGGAGCCTGAGTCACCAAACAGGCAAACCGCATGAGACATCCCCACCGTCTGCGCGCGAACCTCCGTGGGGTGCCCAAATGCCACACCTGCTATATCGTGGTGATCCTGTGGCTCTCGAACGAATGGAGTTAGAACCACCCAACAGGCAAACCGCTGGAGACATCCCCAGTCTACGCGCGAGCGGGCAAGTGTCCTACCCCCTGGCGGCTCCTCCTTGTGGTGCCCAAGTGCCACGCCTGCTACATCCCACTGATGACGAGGCTCTCAAAAGAAAGGAGCCTGAGCCACCAAACAGGCAAGCCGCCTGAGACATCTTCACCATCAGGGCGCGAGCGGGCAAGTGTCATTACCCCTGGCAGCTCCTCCTTGGGTTCCAGAATGTCACGCCAAGTCTGCTACGCCGGGAGTGAGTTAGTTTGAGCGTGAGTGTGTCCGAGCGTGACTGAATGTGTGTGCGTGAGTGGTCTGAGTATGAGTGGCTCATACAATAAATTTGAGGCTGTCGGTAAGTCTGAGTGTGAGAGAGCCTGTGCGTGAGTGGGTCTGAGTGTGAGTAGGCCTGTGCGCATATGAATACGAGTGCACAGGAATGCATATGAGTGTGAGTGGTCTGTGTGTAAGCGGGTCTATGCGTGAGAGAATCTGAGTGTGAGTGAGTCTGAGTGTGGATGAGTCCGACTGTCAGTGAGTCTGGGTGTGGATGAGTCTGAGTGCGAATGGTCCGCGCAGGAGTGCAAGTGGAGTGTAGAATGAGTGTGTATGAGCATGAGTGCGAGTGCATGTCTGCATAAGAGGAAGGAGGCGGGAAAGAAGGATTGGCCGAGGCGCCCCAGTATTCACCAGATCCCCATACTTAGGAGATTGGGAATGAAGAGTGTGGCCGCTCTCCATCAACTGTTCATCAGCAATGTGGAGTGGCAAAGTGGGCCCAGACGACGGGGTCTCCTAAGTCAAAATCGCTGCGCCCGCAAGCCATCGCCGACGACAAATGCAGGAAGAACAAAAAAAGGCCCAACATGTCGCCTGCATCCCGAGCGGCGTCCGCTTCTATCAGGAATGGCAAGGCTGGACAGCCCCAGGATCTGCTATGCACTCCCCACAGAAGTTGCAGAGGCCCGCGTTTGAAACGCCGTCGATGCACAGGAGACGACAACATTTGCACTGACCAACGACGGGCACGTTCCACCCGTCGCACGGCATCTCCTGTATCTCGCTGCACACGGCCCTCAGCCTCCTGAGCCCAGAGTGCAGCCAGCAGCACTCCCCGCCGGCGTCGACGCGGTGGTTGGACTGCATCAGCACGAGGCTGACGGCCTTCATCAGCGTCTCGTGAGGCGTGGGGTGGTACGAGCCGTGAGCCAGCCGCTGGACCTGCCCAGGCGGAGTGTCCGAGGCGCTGGAGGGATTCACGGCGGTGGCCTCGGGCACCGCGGCGAGCTGCTCGGACGAGGCGCCCTTCAGGCTGATGCATGAGAACGAGAGCTCCGACTCGAAGGCGAAGATATTAAAGATGGGTGACCCGTGCACCTGCGGCTGCGCCGGTGCCGCGACATCGCCCGACGAGCCGCCCCAGGGCTTGGCCTGGCCGGCCTGGCCCTCCATGCCCAGGAGGATCGGGAACACCTCCCTGACGCTGGGCCTGAGCTCGGGCCTCGGGCGCGTGCACTCCTCCGCGAGGGGCCGGCAGCGGTTCAGGAGGCCAGCGTCGAAGGCGCGCGGCCAGCGCATGCACGGGGAGCGCAGCAGAAACTTGCGCAGCTGCCTGCTGTCCGGCACCTCCGAGAAGGGCAGCTGGCCGGTGGACACGTAGAAGGCGAGGCGGCCGAAGGAGAACATGTCCGTCGCGGCGGCCGGGGCCTGGCGGCCCGACAGGACCTCGGGCGCCGCCCACCGCAGGGTGCCGCCCATGGGGTGGGCGCCTCCCTTGACGAGGCGGGAGAGGCCAAAGTCGAGGAGCTTCGCCTGCACGGAGTGGTCGGACGGCTGCTCGACGAAGATGTTGGTGTTCTTGATGTCGCCGTGCACGACGACGGGCTGTCTCGAGTGGAGGTAGCGCAGCGCCGCGGCAACGTGCCTGAGGATTCGAATGCGCGGCGGTATAGAGCTTGGGTCGGCGAGCTCCCCCCTGTTCACGATGCGCGTCATGAACAGCTTCAGGGATTCCCCCTTGATCAGCTCAAGGACAAGGCACACCTGGGCGACGACAAGAAGCGGGCCTTGCGCACGATGCTATAGCGACCTTAAGCAGGGGCTGACGCGGGTCGCCAGCGTGGCACACCGCGTCGAGAAGAGGCTTACGCGCGACCTTACGCGGGAAGCTTACGCGCGAATGTCGGCGCAGTTGGACCCGCTTTCTTCCGCGGTTCACCTGGACGCCACCCGTTCCTGAAGTTAGCACCGCTCCATACAGCGCCACGATGTTGGGGTGCCGGAGGCGTCTCAATATCCTCAGTTCGTTGCAAGAGGCCTCAAGGAAGACTTCTTGCGTTCCACCCTGCACAATCGTCTTTGGCGCCTTCAGTGCGACATTGGCTCCATGGTACCTGCCCTGCACAACGATTCCGAAGCTCCCTTCGCCCAGCGGACTTGCGTTAGGCAGCTGCACCTCGTGTTCATCGATGAGCCACTGCTCCTTCAAACCCAGCTCGACGAGCGCCTTGAAGGTTAACCTGTCGCTGCCCAGCCCGAAGCCTCGTGTCGACGTCCCGGACAGCGTCTTGGTAACCGACTCCACGTCGTCGGACGTTTTCTGCGTCACTTTCTGCGCCTTGTGCATGTCCTTGTACGTGGCCAGCTGTAATTCCGACTCGACTCTCAAGCACTTCTCCCGGATCAGCGCCACGTACTGTATCCTCTCATCCCTGTCCAGGCTCAGCTTCCCAAGGCCAGTCACGAATATCAGTATCGAAAAGGCCAACAACGTGTGCGGGAAGTTCGCGGGGTGGGGGCAGCCAAGGATCGCGGCCGGCAGGGCGTAGCAGAAAATGCTAAATACCTGAACGCACAGCATGAGATGGAAGCGGATGGGGAGCACGATGTGCGACGAAGTGACCAGCGCGTCCAGCCCGAGGATGATAAACGTGTCGGTGAGCTGCCGAGGCTCCAGATACTTCATCGTGTCGTAGCCCATGAGGCGGCCAGCGTAGTGCGGCGAAGCGAAAACCCAGGCCAGCATCGCCACGGAGATGCAAAAAGTGTAGATTGCCTCTAGTGTAGTCGGCTGAACTCGATGGGTGAAGCAAGGGAGCGTGGCTGTACAAACTACCATGCTGTAGAGCCACATCATGAAAAAGACAAGATTGGAGAGCTGATTGATCTTCATTTGTTCCTCAGACTCATAACGCTCGGAGCTCAAATCCCACACTCTGAACTGGATCAGCTCGATGGTTAAGCCCACTCCAGCGAGTAGGCTGCAGATGCGCATGTTCTGGATCAACTTGGGGTTGCGAGCCTTGACGAAGCCTGCTTCCTGACCAGCATGGCGAAACATCATGGAATATCGGAAAATGCCATTTTTTTTTCTATCGCAAGCGAGCGAGTCCATGCGGCAGCCTCTGGACTGGACGCTGAATCCTCCGACAATTCCTCGAGCCAAGGCACACTTGAACCAAGGCTGTGGTAGAAAAGCAGATAAGCGTAAAGCGTTGAAAAAGACATACAGTTTTCATAAGTTGTGGCTGCCTGGGGATTTGGACCTCTTGGGGCGTCTCTTGAGGCATCCTCACGTTTGCCGGGGTCGTCCTGGAGATATCTGGGAACGTCCCCTGGACTATCCTGGGCCGTCTTGGCGGTCCTTGGGCGTCCTCCTGGACCATTCTGGCCAGCTCTGCAGGCCGACATAAGCGCCCTGGTCACCGTCTTGGGGGCTTTTGCACCACTATGAGCCGTTTTGCAAGTATCTTGGAGCCATCTTGGGGCCGTCTTGGGGCCATCTGGAGAAGGCCTTTTGGAAGTCTCTTGTGGTCTGATGTGGCCCTCTTGGGGGTTCTTGCAAGCTTCCAGGGGGCCTTCTGGGAGCCGTTTGAAGCCTTCTGGAGGACTCCTTGTGGGCCTCTTCGCGGCATCTTGGGGGCATGCTGGGGGTATTGGGGCCATCTTAGGTTTTTCCGATCCATCCTGTGGTGTTGGGTATTTGTTTTTCAGAAACAGTCCCCGCGTCTCATTCCTCCTTCCTTCTCTCCTCCTCTCCCTCCTCCCTCCTCCCATCATCTTCCCTCTGCCCACTGCATGTCTCTGTTTCGGCACACCCCTCACACGTTTCGTGGCCCCATAGAGAACTCCTCCGAAGGACCCGATGGCAGGGTCCACACGCGGTTCCCCATCCATTTGGACACACCCCTCGCACGCTTCGTGGCCCCATAGGGAGCTCCACCGAAGGCCCCAGTGGCAGGGTCCGCATGCGGTTCCCCGCCCATTGGGGCACACCCCTCACACGTTTCGTGGCCCCGTAAAGAGCCGCACTGAAGGCCCCAGTGGCAGGTGTGGTGGTTCCCCGCTCATTTGGACACGCCCCTCGCACGCTGGGTGACCCCATAGGGAGCTCCACCGAAGGCCCCAATGGCAGGGTCCACATGCGGTTCCCCGCCCATGTTGGCACACCCCTCACACGCTTCGTGGCCCCATAGGGAGCTCCAGCGAAGGCCCCAGTGGCAGGGTCCACATGCGGTTCCCCGCCCATTTGGACGCGCCCCTCGCACGCTTCGTGGCCCCATAGGGAGCTCCACCGAAGGCTCCAGTGGCAGGGTCCACATGCGGTTCCCCACCCATTTGGACACACCCCTCGCACGCTTCGTGGCCCCATAGGGAGCTCCACCGAAGGCCCCAGTGGCAGGGTCCACATGCGGCCCTCTGCCCATTTGGGCACACTTCTCACACGTCTCGTGGCCCATAGAGAAACCCACCGAAGGCCCCAGTGGCAGGGTCCACATGCGGTTCCCCGCCCATGTTGGCACGCCCCTCACGTGTCTCGTGGCTCCATAGGGATCTCCACTGAAGGCCCCAGCGGCAGGGTCCACATGCGGTCCTCCGCCGATTTGGGCACACCTCTCAAACGCTTGTAGGCTCCACCGAAAGCGGTGCCCACAACGCCGTACTCACAACTGCATATGATTGGGTCCTTCGCCAGGTCCGGACACCATGAGGAAGCCTACAGCAGTGCACCGTGTCTGACCTTCGAGCGTTGCCAAAATTCGACCCCGAACTTGGACACGGAGAGGAGGGACAGGAACGAGCAGGAGGAGGAGGAGGCGAAGGGGCAAGGGTGCTGTGCGGCGGTCCACTGAGGCCCAAACGGCCATTTCTATAACAGGAATAATGAACCCGGCGCAACCCCAATTAGGGGAAAGCTTCCTACCGCATGGGCGCATTGCTTGGCACTGCTTGGCAGTGTTTGGCATTGCTTGGCATTGCTTGGCACTGCTCGATATTACTTGGCATTGCTTGGCACTGCTTGGCATTGCTTGGTATTGCCTGGAACGGGCAAATAGGAATAGGAGGCACCGCGGGTGGGGAACCTGGGGAACCTGGGAAACCCGAAGAACTCGGGGCACCCGGGGAACCTGGGGAACCTGAACTCGAGGAACCCGGGGAACCCGGGGAACCGGGAACCCGGGGAACCCCCAGGGAACCTGGCGAACTCGGGGAACCTCCGAGCAACGGGCAGAGTGACCCCCCGAAGCACCAGTCTTCAACCAAGTGGAACTCACCCCTCAGACAAGCCTAGTTGAGAAAACCACGCAGCGACAGCCAAGGCGGAAGGAGCAAAGAGGGGGACGGGCAGGAAGCGCGAAGACAGACAGCAGCGGACGAGGGCGAGCACAGCGATAGAAAAACGCCCAATTCCTACCATCCCACGGGCGGCAGCGAGGACGGAAAGACAAGGACGGAAGCAGAAAAGGAGAGAGAGAGAGAGAGAAAAAAAAACAAAAAAAAAAAAAAAAAAAAGGAAGAGAGAGAGAGAGAGAACAAAAGAGAGAGAGAGAGAGAGAGCGAGGGAACGACAACAACAACAGCAACAACAAAAGCTGGCAACGGCCTGACCACAGCCCGAGGCTCCAAAAGTCGGCGATACATCTACAGTAGCAAGCCAGGTATTGCAAGGAGTGCTGGACTGCCCGTACCCCAGTGACAGAGGCCAGCAATACAGAGACCTTTGAAGGCGGTGTGAGTTGGCATGATGCCCCAAGAAAAGGCCGTAGCGCTAAACCAATGACCCAAAGCGCTTCTGTAACATGCACGCCTGGAGTGAACACTAACACGAGCGCACAGCTCGAAACACTTGGTCATGTACTAGTGGAGACAGTGAGAGAGAAAGAGGGAAAGAGAGAGAGAGAGAGAGAAACAAAAAAAGGAGGCAGGCACAAAAAAGGGTCGGGAAGCCGAACGCACAGCCTATACATAGGCAGGGCCGCACTCACAACTCGTACTTGAAGACAGCACCGAAGCCGAAGCCGTGCACGAGAGCCCCCAGCAACTCCACCTTTGAAATATCATGCCTCGCCATCCCACAAAGAGGGTAGCCGTCGTAGTGCGCACAGGTGTACTTTCGAGTCGTGAACCTGCGCCCCAACGTGCTGTTGAGCATCGTGTTGTTGGAGCCCGCCGTGATGAGCATCGTCATGCTGCTGGTGGCCGTCGTGCGGCTCAGGCGTGGTTGTAAGAGTCGGCGTGAATGAAGGAGTGATCATGCTGCAGCACTCCGTCGTGCTCGCAAGCGCCGAACTGCAGGAGCCCGTCGTGTTGCCCATCGCCATGCTGAGGGTACCCGTCGTGCATCGCATAAGTACCGAGGTGGTGCTCGATCCCATCGTGAATGACGCGTGAGCAAAGATATGTTCGACGCACAACGTCAGAGCTGGGGTCGGAGCTGGAATCGAAACCGAAGTAGGTCGGGCGTCGGTGCTGACAGATGGCGTCGGTGGTAGATGCGGTCGTGGGTAGATGTTGCGGCACAGATGTCGCAATCTCTGTGCCTCATTCTGTCGTGCTGGACAGCATCGCATTGATAGAGTCCGTCGTACTGTTCATCGTCGTGCTGCTGGTGGCGGTGTACACCACTAATGCATATGGATCCTCATGCATGTCTCCGCCGTGCTGCTCCCTGTCGTACTGCCAGGTCCCGTCGTGTCGATCATCGTCATGCCGCTGGTGGCCGGCATGCTGCGCAGACGTCGAGACGTTGATGTCAGAATCCTGATGCTGAGCCCAGGCTTGCTGTTCAGTGCTGAACTGCTGAACCCCTTCATGCTGTTTCTCGTTGTCCTACTGGTGACCGTCATGCCCAGCATAAGTCGATGCAGGAGCCAGTGTGCTGCACTCCGTCGCGCTGGTGAGCATCGGAGCCCGTCGTTCTGTCCACCTTCGTGCTGCTAGTAGCGGTCGTTTTGCGACTAAGCGTACCGAGTGGTCGTTATGCAACGCCCCGGGTATATGAATAAAGGAGACGTCCCATTCGCTTTTAGAACGCAGGTCAATCTGCGAATGTGTGAAGGAGGAGAAATGGATGGAGCCCCGCGCTGACAAGGAACACATAGGGTCAACAACAGCATGAGGTACTAAAACAAAAATGTCCATCGGATACGCCAGTACACCCAGCATGACCGTCGGGCTGCCGTGCATTTGCAATTGGCTCAAGTGTTGGGGCCTGAGCAGGCGGCAGCCAGAAAGGGAGCTGGTGTCGGAAGTTGCGTCGGAGCGGGCGCCGTCGTGTGTCAAAAGCGTCGTTGGATAGGCCTGTACAAGCAAAACCCGCGGCATTAACCGTCGTACCGCAAAGGCGGCTGGCGGGTATGTCAGTACACCCAGAATCAAGTTGGTATGTCTGTCGGAGTTGGCGTGTCAACTTGAGCCAGCGTTGACAATGGGGTCGGCGCCACAGTCGTGAAGCAAGAGTGTCTTGGGGGGCCATCTTGGGGGGAGGGCCCCTGGCCCCTGTGGCCCTTTGGTCTTGTGGGTTCCTATCGGATCATTATGGCAATCACCTTGGGCCACCTTCGAGGCGTCCTGAGACGTCTTGAGGCCCGTTTGCGCGGGTCAGGGGTAGAGCATCGGCATACGATGCTTATGTGGGCAGCAATGTGGGTGCTTGCACGCGATTATCTTGTAGCAACTCGTTTCTGTCAAGATTAAAAACCCCCCTGAAGATTCTTCGGAGGGGTTCTCCAAGACGCATTCTGCCCACCCCAAGCACATATGTCACGATCCCGGTGCGTCTCTAGGATTTTCGGGAGGGTGCGCAGCGTGTTCCGGCAGAGCCCCGCCAGAACACGCTGGAATCAGCCCGTGCCCGTGCATGAATTCTGGGGGATGCCGGCCCATCCTCTGCGCTTCGGCGCGACGCCGAAATTCGTGACATTGTCATTGCTTGTGTGATGCCGTGCCGTGCGGCGCGAGAGGCATAACATGGCATGTTGTAGCATGGGCCCTCCTATGTAAGAATACGGCAGGGCGGCAACCGTTTAGATTGCCAGTGCACCGTCTTAGTGTCGCAGTTCTGGTGGCAACGCCACTCCTGCGAGCTAGAATGTCCAGCAGGTGTCGCGGGGGTGGTAGCAACGCCACTCCTGCGAGCTATGATGTCCAGAATCGTGTTTGGCTCAAGTTCCGTAGTCTGGCTCAAGGTGACTCTAGGTGGCTTGCGCAGGCTGGCCAGCGGTCGTGCCGGCGGGCCTCGCAATGGAGAGCGCGGCGGCGGGGCAGCGGCGCCAGCGGGCGGCCACTTGGGCGGCCCGCGTCGCGCGCGCCGCCGGTTTCACGCGGGCTGCGGACGCCGCTGGCACTGCCGGCGCCGCGGCTGCCGCGGGCGCCTCCGGCGCCGTCGGCGCCGCTGACGCTGCTGGCGCCGCCGGCGTCACCGGGGCCGCCGCTGTCGCCGGCGCCGCTGGCGCCGCGGGTGCCGCGGGCGCTGCGGGCGCCGCGGGCGCCGCCGGCGCCGCGGCCGCCCTGACGCCGCCTCCAGGCCTGACGTCTCGGGCGGCCGCCTCCGGCCCTGCTGCCGCCGCTGGCCCCGCCGGCGGGCAAGCCGACACCGGCCTTGCCACGGCCGCGGCCTCTTGCCGCGCTGCCCTGGACGCGGCCGAGGCTGCGTCGGGCGCGGGCGTTTTGCGCGCACGACGGACACAAACAGCACGTCCATGAGCAGCGCGACGAGCTCCAGCAGTACGTACGCGCACAGCAGGATGAACTCCAAACAGCACCATCGTGAGCAGCATGACGAGCGCCAGCAGCGCCATCGCGAGCAGCTCGACGGACTCCGGCAGCGCGGCAGATTCCAGCACCACCATCGCGAGCAGCGTCGCGGAAACCAGCAGCACCACTGGCAGCAGCATGACGGACTTCAGCAGCATCAGCATGAGCAGCTTTGCGTGCAGGACGACGTCGACCAGGAGGTGGAAGAGGAGGTGCGACACGAGGCGGAGGAGGCACAGACGGAGGCGGAGGTCGACGGAGGGGCGTTGCAAGACCTCGGGGGCGGGGGCGGCGGCGGCGGCGACGGAGGCAAAGGCGGGGACGGCGCTGGCGACGGCAATTTGACATTGGCAGAGGCGGCGGAGGTATAGGCGGCGGCGGCAGTGGCGCAGGCAGAGCTGCTGCCTTGGTCGTCATGCGCGGCCCCCTGCAGGCAGGGGCTACATCAATAAACATTCGAAAGGCACCTTGCGGGCGGCAGCAACTCAGAGACCGCTAGCATTGCAGACTTGGGGCAGAAGAAGCAGGAAGTCGCCAGGGAGGAGGTGGACGAGGACGGCCTCGTCGACAACGGCGAGGAGGGGCCGAGCCCAGTGAAGCGCATCTCCTCACCCGTTGGGCGCACGGGGGCCCGGGCCATTCGGAATCCGCACGCTACGGCGTGCACTGATCCACCTGTCTGTGCGACGGTAAGTCGCGCCCCTGGCTCGACCTCTCTGCACCTGGATCTGGCGGAAGGACGACGCGGGGCCAGCGGCGCCAAGGGACCCGCGGGCGACGTCGGCAACGATGGCCCAACCGCGGGCGGCAGGGGGCCTCGCGGGGGGCCAGCCGACGAACCCCTCACGACGCGGCTGCACCCGCAGGGCCTGCGAGGCCCATCCTCTCTCCGCCGCCAGCCCCGCGGGAACCTAGCGCGGCCATCCCAGATCATGCCGGGAACCTCAGGCACCGGCGGTCACGGATCCACCTGCCTGCGCGACGGTTGGTCGCGATCCTTGCGCGACGAGCGCCGAGGGCACCGGGCACCCCCCGGGCCGAACCCGCGGAAAGAATGCCCCTGAGGGCCACGGGAAATCCCAGAGAGCCCAGCGCGATGAGCCCAACATCGCCTCCGCCACATCAGCGCCCGCGATGTCCAGGTCCCCCCTGCCACCGCCACCTCTGGACCCCAGCGCGGCCATCCCGGGTCATGCTGGAGAACTGCAGGGGCTGGCGAGCACTGGCCCACCTGTCTACGCGGCTGCTAGTCGCGCCCCTGGTGCTCACCTGGAAGAGAACGAGGGCAACCCTAGACCAGCCCATCAGGCGGAGGACGGTGCCCACGAGGGGCAAGCACAGCAATGGCGGAGCAGCCGGCCCTGCTCGCCCCGGCTCTGACCCTGCTCGCCCTGGAGAGCCCTCGTCACCACGGCCAGCTTCTCGGCGGGAGCCCCGGGGAGAGGGCGAACCTGGCGCCGCTGCTCGTCCTGGAGAGCCCTCGTCGCCACGGCCAGATTCTCCGGTAGTCGGCCCCGGGGGCGCCCTGGCACCGCTGCTCGTCCCGGAGGGCCCTCGTCGCCACGGCCGGCTCCCCGTGGCGTCGCAGGCGGGGAAGATCCTGCCGCCGCCGCTCGCCCTGGAAAGCCCTCGTCGCCACGGCCGGATTCACAGGGAGGCGGGGGAGGGGAAGATCCTGGCACCGCCATTCGTCCTGGAGCGCCCACGTCGCCACGGCCGGCTCTTCGGGGCGCCGCCGACTGGGCGGATCCCGCTACCGCAGCTCGCCCTGGAGAGTCCTCGCCGCCACGGTCGGAGAGCGGAACCCAACTGCCAGGGCGCGGCGCAGACCCAAGCGGACCCCAGCTGACCCCACTGGCTGCATTTCCAGCTGCAGTGGCTTTGAGCCACCCAGTCCCTGACCCAGAGGCGTTCGAGGCTCTGGTGGTGACGGGCTGGACGCCGCGGTGCTCGATGCGCCGGTGGTCCGCCAGTTGGCGGCCGAGGGTCGTTTCGCCCCCTCGCGGTCCCCAACGACAGAACGCAACGGGCGTGACGGACACGAACGGCGGGCCACTGCGGTCGTCGCGCAGGCGGAAGCTCGCCCCCCCTGCACCCCAGACCCGCGGCCTTGCTGGGCGGGCCAAGTGGGCGACGCGGATGCCAAGCCCGACGCGCCTGGATCCGACGTCCCACCCGACGCCACAGGCGACGCCCAGCCCCGAACACTCCCCGACGCCCCTCCCGACGACGCCGCGCCTGGCGCCCCACGCGATGATGCCTCTCTAAGCTTCCTCTCCGACACCTTCACCGACGCCCTCCCCACGCCTTGCCCGCCGACCCTTCCGACGCCCCCGCCTGCGCCCCGCCTGCGCCCTGCCCGCCAATCTGGTCGCTGCGCGGTGGCCGTTTTCGCGGCCCGCCACGTCATCGGCTCAAGCCGACGATTGGGTCACCACGGACACGCATCCGCACGTGAACCCTCCGCCCGCTCTCGAGGCCCCTCGCAGTTCCCCAGCGACGACGGCCGCGGGCGGCCCCGGCGCCGCTGGCAGCGCCAACGCCAGCTCGCTGGAGGAGAACTCCTCGGCCCGCACGGCGCGAGCTCCTGCACCTCGCCATGGACACTTGCGCCGCGTCGCCAGACACCCTCGTCCACAGGAACTCGTTCACCTCGGAGTATAGGAAGCAGGGCACATGGCAGGCGCGCCTGAAGGATGTCCCAACTCGCGCCGTGCTAGACTTCCCGAGCTCGAGGGGGGCCCTCGCGGCCCTGGTCAGGGGGGGGCAGCAGAGAGCGGTTGGAAGCGGGGCGACCTAACGTATATTCTACGGTCGGCGCGGGGGCGACACCCGCGACCCCAGCTGGCACGACGCCACATTCCTCCGACGCTTCCTCAACCAGAATGAGCTGCTGTGAACCACCAATACGCTGCTGCTCCAGGGAGGCCCGTTAAATGATTTTCGCTCGGCGCGCCTCCCACCCCAGGCGGCGAGCCTTACTCCGACCCCGCGGTCGCGCCATCCACCCCATGCGGTGCCCTTGGCTCTGCAGTGGGAGTGCCCTGGCTCCTCTTTCTCGCACCGGCTCGGTGCTTCTCACCCTGCGCGCCATCCACCCTGGGCGGTGCGCCCCCCACCCTCCGCGGGCGCGGCATCCTGCCCAGGTGCCGCGTTGCGCGCCGGCTGAAGCCCAGCCCAGCTCGCGGCCATCTGTCCGCACACTGGCCGCGTGCTCTGGCTTCAGCGCGCGGCGTGCCAGCCGCCCCTGGCTGCGCGCCCCCTCCCACCGCCCGACGCTGGAGCGCCGCGACGCGCTCTCTGCCTCGGGCCACACTGGCCATGGCCCGTTTGGCGCACACGCCGCCCCGCTGGCCGCTGGCCCAGCAGGTTGGCACTGGCCCCTGCCCTGCAGCTCGCGCAGTCCAGCATGGGGGGCGACGCCGCTACGTAGCCCTCCGCTTTTGTCTCCCAGCTGCCCGCAGGGAGCCCTCGCCCACCTCCCGCTCTCGTTGGGCGCCGCCCTGTCCATGGCTGCGATGCGCGCACCGGCTCTGGGCTCGGCTCGTCGCCTCTCTGCCGCCCCCCTGCCGACCCTGGCCTTTTCTGTGGCCTCCACGCGCCGCTCTGCGGCAGCCAGGCGCCTGGCCATCCGGCTACGCCTGGCCTTTCCGCCCCGCCTCGCCGCCACCCCCTCCCCGCGCAGCGGTCGCGCTTCGCCTCCGCCACGCCGCGCCGGCGCAAGGCCACACGCCCAGCCCACCGCAGCAGTCCCGAGCAGCCACCACCACACCCCCTCACCGCGCGCCCCAACCCGCCATCCCAGCGGCCCGCCGCTCCATCAGCTCCCTACACTTGCAGGGCACCGCCCTGCACTGCAGCCGCCGGCCCCTCCCTTGGGCGCGCCCGCGACGCCGCCCCGCGCTCGCTGACAGGGGCTGTCCTGCGGCCCGGCCGCCCCGCAGAGGGACAAGATACCCTAGACGTGCCATGCTCCCCGCCGCCAGAAGAGACCACAGCAGCCATGGAGGAAGAGATGGGGGTGCTGGGGACGTAGCACTTCAAAGGGCTATAAGCCTAAACCCCTACCAGAGCGCATTGCTCCCCGCTGCGCTTGGCCCGCCCGCTGCGCTGATGCGCGCGCGGTGCCGAGCGTGTGGTGATCACGTGATCGGCCCCTCGGTCACACGCGCTATCTGCGACACAGAGGCGCACGCCCACTGTATGGCCCCCTGCCAGGGCCACGCGGTGCGCACGCCTGCTACGCCGAGCGGGACATCGCCTACACGCAGCGGCAGGCGGCATTGAACGGGCACGTGGCCGCGACCGTGGGGAGGACCGCGGCAACTTCGGCCCAGATGGCTGGCCACGCCATGGGCAGCATCTCAACGGCAGCCACAGGAGTGCAGCGGCTGGCGTTGGGCGCGCCGCAGGTGCGAGACAGGCCTGGAGTGCTGGCGCGATGATGCCGCACCCAATCTTGCCGATCACAGGGCCCAGCATCGAAAGCGCTGGAGCGGGCCCAGCCCCGACGGGACGACATGAGGGTGTGATGGGCCTGATGCTGGCGGAGCTTCGCGACCTCCGCCTTCAGGTCGACAGCCTCAGAAGGTGGAATGCCGAACTTGAGGCGGAGCGGCTTGCCGAGCGCGCCAGGGCATGAGCTCCATCCGCGGGGTGCCTTAACCCGACCGCCGCTGACCACAGTGAGGTCGCAGTGCCTGAATCGTCCAGCTCAGAAGAGCCGCCGCCGGCCACGGCGAGCGCAGGCCAAGGTACACAGGATAAAGGTGCACATGTGGTACTTGGCGACGGCGTTCCTGCCGCAGGCGATGGACTGATCACTCAGACGTCGGCGACCGTGGAGCTCCCCGCCGGCGGGGTGCAGGAGGTGGACACAAGGGCGGAGTTCCTTGCAGAGAGAAATATCATTTGGAGTCGTTGCCCTCCCTTCTGTGCAAAAGCCCACGGAATTAGGTCACTACTTTACATCAGCGGTGATCCATCGGACCCACGGGAAACATTATCGGATGTCGCTCCCTTCCCTTTTCACGCCAGACTCCCACAGAATCTTGACATCACTTTGCAAGAGCGGTGGCCTATCGAACCCGCGGCGCGGTGATGCTGCGTTCCACCGCGCCTGCGTCTTTTTGCCTCTTGCCCTGCTGAAGCAATGGGCAGCGACCTGTCAGAGAAAACGAATGCGCGCTCACATAGCACATCGCGCTGTCCTGCACTATATATATATATATATACACACACCGATGTGTCTCAAACTGTGTTTACGCTTGGGGGCCCTTACTTTCTTCTAGGGAACTGGGCCTGGTTGTCGGTCTGGCCAGATTGTGGCCACCCGACGCCGCAGCCCGTAGTCCCGACTCTAAGTGCGCATTGTTTCGCATTGCTTCGAACTGCTTCGCGTTGCTTCGCATTGCCTCACATTGCTTTGTACTCGCTCGCAATGTTTCGCACGACTTCGAATTGCTTCGCATTGCTTCGCATTGTTTCGTTTTTGTCTACATGTGCTCTCATCGCATTGCACAATTTCGCGTTGGTTCGAATTTGCGTTGCGTCGCATGTTGCTGCATTGCGTCACGAGGTTTCGCATTGCATTACATTAATGTACATTGCTCAGCATTGCTGCACTACGTTGCTTCGCACTTCTGTGCGTTACTTCGCATTACTTTGCATTGTGTTGTTTTGCAGTGCATTGCTTTATCCCGCAGGGCGTTGCACTAGTTCGCATCAATGTGAATCGTTGTGCGCTGCGTTGCGTTCTTTGGCATTGGTTTGCGCCATCTAGATGGCAACACATGTATTGCACCAACTAAGTTGCACCACATTGATTGCACCACCTGGGTTGCGCCGCATAGGCTGTAGGGGACCACTGCTTGGGGTCCACGCTGGTTAAAATACCTGTGTATATATATATATGTATCGCACGTATGTACATAGATGTATGTGCGCGTGCTCATCAATCATAGTGTGAGGGAGAGGAGCGCTGCTGCAGCATCACAGAGCGCAGGGCGCCGTGACGTCACGTAGCGCGTGGCGCGCTGTCCCTGGCCTAGCTCGAACCGTCCCTCATCGTCCGGCTTCGAAAGAAGCAGCCCTGTTTACAGCTGCCCCGTGCGCGAAAGGGCTGGGTACGTCCCTGGGCAACTGTGCATGCCGAGCGGTCGAGGGAAGAAGCCTGGCTGAGGATCGATACGATCTCCCCCCACGAAATCGCCGCGATCCAGGCCCTTGTCGTCTCTAGGAGGTAAAGCAGGAGGAGGACCAGGAGGAGGAAAGTCATAGGGAAGATGGTGAGAACGAGGAGGAAAAGAAGAGGGAGGAGAAGGAAGAGAACGAGCGCACGTAGCTGGGACGATGGTGTCTCCGCTACTGCGCAGCACTAGCAGCGCATGGCAGCCAATGCAGCAGCTCATATATGGTCATGGTAAGATGGCGTGGCACTTTGAGGCCGCTGCGCTATGTAGGTCCGCTTTGAGCTTATGGTAGATATGGAAGCTCAGGACCTCGAGTTCATGGCATCGGAATCGAGAATATTCGACCCCGCGATCGGGGTGCGGGCCGAACCCAAGACGGGCGAGAGGAGAAGAGGGAAGGAAGCCACGAGGGAGGGCAAGGAGGCGGAGGAGACGGGGACAAAGAACATCATGAGCGAGCGAATCTGGGGCCTCATAGCCATAACGACATGGGACGGGCTCAGCACTCTGGATTATTTGGGAGGTGGTCCAGACCCGTGCTAGAGTCTTGATGCGGGCCCACGCCCAGGCAAGGGGGGCGCGAGCCAGGATAGTGCGGAGCTCCATCCATCGAACCTATACTTCATCTGGCAGCGGCAACGATTCGGGAGGGAGCCAGGCAGAAAGACGACGGAGGATCAGGGAGGTGAAGGAATCGGGAAAGAGAGAGGCCTCGAGAGAGGAGATGAGGATGCGCTGGGGACGCGGTCGGCGCTCATCGGCAGCTGCAGACGCAATCTCCGTCCTGGCTGCTGCCACAGCCAGGTCCCATGAATATGCTCTGATGTTGGGCGGACCTGACTGAAGCATCAATGCCAGAAACTCGGCGATCGAGCTGCGTCGTTGCTAGACCTCCAAAGAAAGTGAACCTGAAGCCATATCCCTGAGAGATCCATGCATCTCGGCATTGGCGCAGAGCAGAACGAAAGCTTCCCCCCCACCGACGCCGTCCCTTCGGAGAGTGAGCGCCGCCGTTCGCCAGGCGGAGCTGCTTGCCAGCACGCGGAGAGATCGGAGGACCGCTGAGCGGAGTCATATTTTGATGCACAAGAGCCCAGCAAGCCCGAATGAATTGGGGGAGACGGAGGAGACGATGGAGGACGTGTCGCTCAGAGCGGAGTAGCAGGAGAGGGGGAGGAAAGAGCTGGCACACATAGTTTAGTGCCGAGAGGATACCACAGTTGTGAATTCTCTTGCTCGCCTCGGCGGGTGCCCGACTCAAGGCCAACTGCGCGGCACGCTCTTTCCATTCAGTGACTTTGTCCAGCCACTGTAAGGCACGAGAGGCATCTGGTCCGAACTGGAAACCTAAGAGATCAGTGGCTCCTTCGAAAGCCCCCCATTCGGGCACCAGGTGGAGCAGAGCGGTACGCGCGCGCTCATTGAGCTCGGGATCACATCTCTCGGCCAGCGGGACATTACAGCACTTGGATGGTTGAAGGATGCGACGAGCAAGATGGCGGGCGACATCGAACGCAGGCTTGAAGAGAGGGAGTGCCAATCGAAGGGAGGGTAGCGTCCACGTCACCCGACGTCGCTCCACACTCAGGTTATAATCCAGGACACCCTTGTTCAGGGGCAGGGCACAGCTCACGGGCCGCTTCCGAGCCGAGACAGGAGGCCATGTCCCGAAGCAAGGGGTCCCTGCAGAGGGCCAAGTGGTCTCCGAGAGGGTGCAACCCTGGGCCACTCCCGAGGACACCATGAAGAGGGGGACTCTGAAGGAGGAGGAGAATGGAGGAGGAGGAGGAGGAGGAGGAGGAGGAGGCCGAGCGCTCCCAAGGAAACTCCCATCCCGAACTGTGCGGCAGGTCAGCTGCGAGACGCGCAGCTCGGGCGAAATCCACCGCCTCGAAATCCGAGGGCACCTATCCGCCGAACACCCTCCGTGTATTGTGGATGAGGCTATGCAGGAGATCAAGGATAGCGGCGAACTGCAGCAGAGGAAGGGAGCATGGACAAACGGGCAACAATCGGGGCATCCCACGACGGCAACGAAGTCCCAGCGGTCAGGGCCAACCAGGAAAAGTGTCCAGGGCAGGAGGAAACGGAGGACACGGAGGAGAAAGAGGGTGAGGGCGGGGGAGGAGGAGGAGGAGGAGGAGGAGGAGGAGGAGGAGGAGGAGGAGGAGGAGGAGGAGAGGAGAGGAGGAGGAGGAGGAGGAGGAGGACGACGACGACGACGAAACGACGCGCCAGGCGCGCCAGACAGCGGGTCGGAGGCCTTTGGCCTGCAGGGTCTCCACCACGCGGCCAACGAGCCCTTGCAGGCACACCTTCGCCCCGCCCCCGCACTTCCAAGGTTGAGGAGACGGAGTTTGATACGGGGGCTGACGTCTGGCCTCAGCTCCCTGAAATCAGGCCGCATACCAACGAAGGGGCCGAAGGGGGTCCGGAAAGCGAGACGAAGAAAGGGCTGGAGAGGCGCAGTGGGCCTACTGAGACGCCCAGGAAAAGTAAGAGATGTAGCGCGGGGAGAACAGAGGAAGAGGAGAAGGAGGAAGCGGAGGCGGAGGCGGAGGAGGGGAAGGAGTGCACGCAGCTCGGGGGGCGGCAGTCTGATGCGTGCCTTGCCGCAGCAGTCGAGGCCTTCTCAATCAGATGAAATAAACCCTGTGGCTTTCGCACTCGAAGCGGATGTGAAACTCAATGATGTGGAGATCATTCGCGGGCTCCACGACCTCTGGCGACTCTGAATTGCCCTCTGCGATCGTCTTGTGTTCAGCTGAGAAGCAGTCGAGGCGTCTGCGGTGAAAAACTGCTTCTCCGTCGTGTTGCACACCTCATTTGCGAAGTACCGGTCGTGGTCTAGGGTGTTTTGTCTTCCATCTGACCCTCTTCCCCTTCGGGGAGGGGGTTACCCCTTCCTCTACCCCTTCCCCTGGACCTGGACAGGGCTGGTCGAGAGGTGTCAGGGCATCCAAAACGGCCTCGGCGAGGAAGCCAAAATCATTGGTTTTACAAAGGTCTTGGCCCCAGGTTGGCCTCTAGGGGGGGGAGGGCAGCGCTAATTCAAGCTCCCCTCTTGTTTGATCGATGTCCTCCAAGATGGCCCCAAGAGCGCTCCCAAGGCTCCCAAGAGGGCTTCAAGACGGCCCCAAGAGGCACCCAGGAGGCCCCAGGAGGCCCCAAGAGGCGCCCAAGAGGCCTCCAAGAGGCTCCCAAGAGACCTCCAAGAGGCCCCTAGAAGCTACCCGAAGCACCCAAGACGCTCCAAGAGGCCTCCAGGACCGCCAGGAGGCCCACAAGACGCTCCAAGAGGCCTCCACTGGGGGACCCTTCCTCTGCGTGCTGCCCACTTCCCTGATCGAGGCAACTCCTCTGGGCATCATTTCTGGATGGGCTGGTGGGGCTACTTTTCCGTCACAGCCGCGAGCGAAGGCGCACGCAGCGTCAGAGGTCAACCCGGGCTACCAGCGAAGCCTAATTGCCCAGCGGACGCTCACGGCTGCCGAGGCTGCCGCCGAGGGAAGCTGGGGGGGCGCCGGGAGCTGCAAGCAGACTGCGAAGGCTGCCAGGAACTCCAGGCGGCCAGCGTGCGGGGAACCCAGAGGCGGGGCCACCAGGAAGAGGATGAATTGAACCTTGTCGCACAAGGCACCAGAGGTCGACGCGCCACAAGCGTGGCGAAGCGCGGGGCTGCGTAAACAGTCCAACGTGCTAGGCTGCAGGCCAACGGGGACGGTCACACATGGCAGACCAAGAAGGCTGCTGGTGGGGCCACGCGAAGCGTCTAGAATTTCATGTCTGCGTCTCGGTCGGTATTCGAAGCTCGTGTTGATGTCTCGCCAACTGTGCTGCAACATGCCTAGCCGTCCCAAGCCCCCTCCTCGCAAGGCCCGGGCAAGGATCCTTTCTCACTGCGGGAGACGCCCTCGTGAGAGACGAGCGCCCGATGGTCCTGCAATTCCAGCGAGGGGCCCGTTTCCGCAGGGGGCAACGCTCCCGGCTGGAGAGACGACGGCGAGGTCGGATCGTAAAGTTCGAGGACGCATCCAGCGAGAGCCCCGCCCTGAAAAATAGCCGCGGCCCTCCTCCTCCTCCTCCTCCTCCTCCTCCTCCTCCTCCTCCTCCTCCTCCTCCTCCCCCCCCTCCTCCTCCTCCTCCTCCTCCTCCTCCTCCTCCTCAGCGAAGCCTGGTAATAAAACAAGGCAGTCTCAAGCACGAGTCCCGATTTGAGGAGGATCCAGCCTCCATACGTACAGCGACTGCTCCATGCTGCACGTCTGATCATGGCGAATGAGGAAGTCAGAAGCGAACCTCATATGTTAGCCAGCGTGGACCCCAAGCAGTGGGGTACTGCACTTTGGAGGTGTGGAAGCTGTGTGGTGTAAGCTGTGTGAGCACTGCGGTGCAAGCTATGTGATGTAAGATCTGGTGTGTAGGCTGTGCAGTGTAGGTTGTGTGGTGCGGGCTATTGCGATATGAGCCATGTGGTGTGAGCTACGTGGTGAAAACATGATGCTGTGAAGGCATGGTGTGAGCTATGCCGTGGAAGCTGTGCTGTGTAAGCTATGTCGTGTACACCAGGCGCCCCCGAGCAAGCACGGGCGCCAACGTTGCAAATCCCGGGACAGCCACCCAGCGCACAGGTGCGCCCACGAGGCGCCCAAGAGCGGGCCAGGGAGCCCACGTAGCGAATGCCTGGGAAGCCATTCGATCACCAGCGAAGCAAAAGTGAAAAACCATCAGTGCGAGCACTGCTCAGGGAATATGTTTGAGAAGAACTGCCCTCCATCCGTGTAACGCTTGGAAGCTCTTAGGACGCATGTGCGCGGAGCGACTGTGAGCGCCACATTTTAGAAGGAATCGCGCTCCATGCGTGTAACTGCTCGAAGGTTTCTAAGCGAGTGCTCGCAGCGCTAAGGCCAGAGCCACATGCAAAAACACATTACCACCCTCCATGCACCAAACAGTTGAAACTGTTGAAAATGAATGTGCGCGGCGCTTGGCCAAAGACACATTTAAGAAACACCACAACCCTCCACTCGTGTAAGTGCTTGAAGCTTTAAAAACGAATGCGCGCGGCGCTCAGGCTATGTCCACATTTTGAAAACGACCCCACTCCATCCGTGTAAATGTTGTCATGTTTCAGCTCCTGGCTCGCAAACGAACAGAAAGTATCAGGCGAAAACGCCCGGCCCGCCCTACCAACACGTCTGATGGTCAGACGAGGAGGAAGAGCTATAAAGGAAAGGGATAGAGCGAGAGCGGGAGGAGGGGGAGCGGAACGAGGAGGAGAAGGAGAAGGACGGGGAGGAGGGCAAGGGGATCAGAGGGAGGAAGAGGAAGAGGCGCCGTCTTTCCCAACCCACCCCTGTAGGATATCGCTTCAGGTGCTTTACCACGACCGGCTCAGCCGACACAACGCGCACCTCGGCGCCGGGTACCTCGTCGCCCAGAAAAGGAAGGAGCAGGAGAGACAGGAGCTGGAGGGTGAAGCTCAGATGAAAGCGAAGGAAGAGGAGGTCATCACCAGAACAAACGAATGGAAAGAGCAGCGCAAGCTCGCGAGAAGAGATCCCCATGTAAGAAGGATGAGGGAACCATGTCTGAGCCAACATGGTTTCCCCCGACAGCACACCCACAAGCACGTACAAGCAAAATTCGTCGGGTAGCGAAGATGCGGTGACAAACAACAGCTGTCAGGGAAACGTCGACGCACACCGTTGCTCAAGATGGTGCGAGGAGATGCAGGAGGAGAGAAAGGAACAGAAGCACAAGGATGGCGAAGAGACGAAACACAAAGGAAAGGCCAGGATGATAGGCAATCTCGTTATGTGCGGGCCACATGGCGCGACCGACTGGTAATTCGTCAGCCCAACGGGCCAACGGCACGCTAAATCCTGAAAGTGGGTCAATACAGGTGGCATGGTTGAGTTACTGTTTTTTTAGTCCGCGCGCGCAAGGGCGCCAGATGGGGGGGTCTGCGGAACCAACTGGCGCCCGGCTCGCCTTAAGAGCGCCCCAAGGAAACCCAAGAGCGCCCCAAAGGCGCGGGCCAACGAGTGTCAGGCCTTAAGCTGGTCTCAAGATGGCCACAAGATGACTTCAAGATGAAGCCAAGATGGCCCCGAGATGGCCCAGGATGGGTAACAGGCTCCCAAGAGTGCCCTTGGAGGGCCCCAAGCGAGTCACAAGGGGGCCCAACAGCGGTCCAAGATGGCAGGCCAGTCCGCGCCAGGCCTTAAGATGGTCCGGATATGACCCCAAGACGCCTCAACGAGGTGCGATGGCGGCCCCAAGACGGCCCAAGATAGCCCCAAACCAGACAGCAAAGGCACATCAAAATGGCCGAACATGCGCCCCATCGGGGGCTCCCGTCATCGAAACTAACATGTGGATTGCACTGTGGTTGGCAGTCTCGCCCTAACGGGCTTCAATTGGCTTCTTGGGGTCGGCCAGGTGG